ATTGTAAGCAGCAGCTGGGACTTTTTGGAACTTGCTTTTCATCATGGGTGTGTGTGAAGGTGAAACTCTAGTCAGACAAACCAGCCGGGACTCTGAAGCAAGTGATTCTGGTCACTTACCTGTTTTCTAAAGGTGGACGTAGAGAAGGCAGAAAGGAGCTAGAGACTCAAGTGAAAGGAAGACTAAGGCAGCCATGGTGTTTTCAGCCTTTTTGTATTAGGCTTCACCCACAACTGATTTGAATCATCTTCATGTGTAGTGGGAAGAAGGGTGGGCCACACCCTGGGTTCTAGGTTCTCCTGAGCCTCTATCTCTATTCGCCTGGCCCTGTGCATAAGAAAAATCAGCTGTATGATGGATGCTTGGAGTAACAACACATCTAGTGGGGTAGGGTTAGGAAAAGAGAATCCCCAAGCCATGGATTTCAGGATGTAGAAATAGAAACCACCTCGTAAGGTGGGCTGCAATTAGGTCAGGAAGATGACAAGATGTGAAAAGTTTTGGCTCAAACTGTTAAGAGGATTTTACATCTGGGCATAGAGCAGAAAGTCTAACCTGAGAACTGACAACCTCAGGAAGTCTTCCCTGTCAGAGTTAGAGCATGGAGGAGGCTCAGAGATGATTCAACAGTGGACTCTTTCTTTTGTAAGATGGTAGAGACCTACCCTATGTAGATTTTATCAGGTGCTTGCTAAGAAGTGTTTGTTATTCTGGGGGCCTCTCTGATAACCTGAAGCAGATGTTGCCATTGGCATAAGAGAATGGGAAAAGAGACAGATTTAAATAGAGTAGTGGACAGGATGTGTTTCACAGAGGATCTCTTGGTTTAGAGATGCTTGGGCTATAGATAAACAAGGAGGGAGCCCTGGTTATGACCAGCGAGCTGTGAGCCTGTGATTGGTTACCAGTGTCATGGGCCAGGTTGAGACCACCAAGAAAATTGTGTAAAACAACTTGAGGATAGATAATTATGTTAATTAATTGTTGCAATCATCCTGTGATAGTTTTGTTTTTTTTGTTTTTTGGGTATTGGGGATTGAACTCGGGACCTTGTGCTTGTGAGGCATGCGGTAGAACCACTGAGCTAAATCCCCGGCCCTGTAATTGTTATTTTAAACCGATAAAACTGACATTTTCTTGACAAAACTGAGGCTAAATTAAGTGACTTAGGTCACACAGCTAAATGATGGCAGAGGTACTCGTGTGTGGAGTTCACTTGTCCAGTGAATCAAATTCAATGGTTAGGTTCAGTGTTGACCTCATGGGAAAATTTGATTTGGTTTTCATGCAGTTTGCTTTGCAACCAGAATTGTGGAAAGAATTAAGTTTGTGAACTGAGGCACCATTGTATCATTCTGCTTTACTGCTG